ATCATTAATTTTATATTTTAAACTCAAATTTTAATTCCATAAAAGATTATCCTTATTAAAAATTACAGTGGTTACAATAAACTAGTTTTTTTTTTAAGATAGATTACAGTAAATTAGTTGAATCCAACCATTTCATGGTGAAGATTGCATGGTGAAGATTTTCCAGAAGATAGAGTTGTGGAAAAAATGATTGTAAGCCTCCTTGAGAAGTTTGAGCAAAAAATATCAGCTATAGAAGAGTCTTGTGATTTGAAGACTCTTACTGTTTATGAATTGATCAGCAAGCTACAGGCTCATGAACAAAGGACTGCTTTTAGAATGGAAGACATGGCTGCTCATGAAAGTGCTTTCCAAGCTTTGCCGAAGTGGAAGCCATTAGCACCATTCTTTGAAAAAAAGCAGCAATATGGAAGAGCAGATAAAGGAAAAATGGTGGCTACACAGTCTCAGCCATCTAAGAAAGATAAGTTTCCTCCATGTCCAATTTGTAAAAGAACTAATCATGATAGCAAGGATTGCTGGTACAAAGGGAAATCACAAGTGCAATTTAGACCTGCAAAAAATATGGTCACATTGAGAAATTTTGTAGATTTAAGAAAAATCAGTATAGACCAAAGCAGCAGCAAGCACAAGTAGCAAGCACAGCTAAAGATCACTTGTTTATGGCTTCACTGGCTTCCAGCTCAGTTGACAAGTGCTCATGGTTTGTGGACAGCGACTGTACCTGTCATATGGCAAATAATGAAGTAATTTTTTTTTGAATTGGACAAGTCAGTGAGAATCAAAGTGAAGCTTGGAAATGGCTCAATAGTGCAATCAGAAGGCAAGGGCATTGTGGCTGTTCAGACCAAGAAAGGTACAAAGTATATTCATGATGTTCTCTATATACCTTCCTTGAGTCAAAATTTGTTAAGTGTTGCACAGATGCTTAGGAAAGGCTATTCAGTTTCATTTGTCAACAATGCATGTTATATCCATGATTCTTGTGGTGTTGAACTTGCTAGAATCAAGATGGTAGAGAATAGCTTTCCTATTACGTGGAATTCTCCTTGCTTGCATGCTGTTTATGTATCAAAATCTGATGAAACTTATTTATGGCACAAGAGATATGGCCACTTTAATTTGAAGTCTCTTAAGTTCCTTCAAACCAATGAACTTGTTAGAGACTTACCAGAAATTCATGTGAATGATGATGTATGTTCAAGCTGTTAATTTGGGAAGTTGCATAGACAAGTTTTTCCCATCAATAGTTCATGGAGAGCAAGCCAAAAACTTGAGCTAGTTCATACAGATGTTTGTGGTCTAATGAAGACTACTTCACTTCGTCAAAATCTCTATTTCATTCTTTTTATTGATGATTACACTAGAATGACATGGGTATATTTTATGAGCAACAAGGCACAAGTTTTCTCTATGTTTAAAAAGTTTAAGGTACTTGTTGAGAACCAAAGTGGCTGCAAAATCAAAACCTTGAGATCTAACAATGGAAAAGAATAAACTTCGAAGGAGTTTGATAGCTTTTGTGAAGATGTAAGGATAGCACATCAGTTAACTGTCCCTTATACTCCTCAACAAAATGGAGTTTTTGAGAGGAAGAACAGAATAATTATGGAGATGGCTAGATGTATGTTGCATGAAAAGAAGTTGCCTAAGAATTTTTGGGCATAGGCTGTTTACACAGCTATATATTTGTTAAATGGTTTGCCTACTAAGGCTGTGCAAGGCAAAACACCTATTGAAGCCTGGTATGGTGTTAAGCCTTCTGCACATCATTTGAAAAATTTTTGCTCTATTTGCTATACCCATGTACCTTATGCAAAGAGAACCAGGCTTGATGTTAAAGCTAAAACTGATATTCTGGTGGGTTATTCTACAAAATCAAAAGGCTACAGGGTATACAACTTGGAATCTGAAAAAATCTCAGTTCATAAGGATGTACAAGTTGATGAAGATTCTTACTGGGATTGGGACAAGAGAGCTGTTGTGAAAAATGGTGATATGGCCCCTGTTAAGGATGATACAAAAGCTTCCAACGAGGAAATTTTTAGCTTCTAATGTAGCTGATATTGATGCTTACCATGACTCCTCTGTTATGAAAACTAAATCCTTGTCTGAAATTTATGAAAGATGCAACCTAACTGTTTTAGAGCCCAACACTTATGCAGAAGCTTCCAAGCATGACATATGGAGGCATACAATGCAGGAGGAGATACAGATGATTGAAAAAAATGACACTTGGGAATTGACTTCCCTGCCACCAAAAAAGAATGCAGTTGGAGTCAAATGGGTGTTTAGAACCAAGATGAATCCTAATGGCTCCATTCACAAGCACAAAGCCAGATTGGTAGTGAAAGGATATGCTCAACAAGCTGAAATTGATTATGGTGATACTTTTGCACCAGTTGCTCGGCATGATACAGTCAGAATGTTGATTGCTTTATCTACTAATTTTGGCTGGACAATTTACCATATGGATGTCAAAATCAGCTTTCTTGAATGGTCATTTGTAGGAAGACATTTATGTGCAACAACTTGAAGGCTTTATTATTTCTAGTCATGAAGACAAAGTTTACAAGCTTAAAAAGGCTTTGTATGGGCTCAAGCAGGCTCCTAGATCCTAGTACAGCAGGATTGATTCATTTCTCCTTCAGCAAGGGTTTCAAAGGAGTGAAAATGAGCCAACCTTGTATGTTAAATGCAACTCAGGTTAGTCTTCCCAAGATACAGCTTTTTCAGTTGAAAATTTTGGTTCAAATCCTTTTGTTTGTGATGCTGAATTGCTGGTTTCTTTGTATGTTGATGATCTGTTACTGGTAGCAATTCACAATTATTGCTCAGTTTTAAAGCTAATTTGATGAAAGAATTTGAAATGTCTGATTTAGGGGAGATGAGTTATTTTTTAGGCATGGAAATTCATCAATGTGAATCTAGTATATTTGTTTCTCAACATAAATATGCTCTTGATGTGTTGAAGAAATTTAGTATGGATCAATGCAAGTCTGTGCCTACTCCCTTAGTTCAAAATTCAAAATTGATTGCTGAAGATGGTTGTGAAAAGACAAATGCTTTTATTTACAGAAGTTTGGTTAGGAGTCTTTTGTATCTTATTGCAACTAGACCAGATCTCATGTATGCAGCAAGCTTGTTGTCTAGGTTCATGCATTCTCCTAGTCAAGCTCATTTCGGTGCTGCAAAAAGGGTGCTGAGATATCTCAATGGCACTTCAAATTATGGTTTATGGTTTGAGAAGCATAAACATGGAATTCTACACTGTTTTTCTGATAGTGACTAGGTTGGAAATCATGAAGATGCCAAGAGCACAACTGGTTTTGTGTTCATTTTTGGTTATGTAGCTTTTTCTTGGATGTCTAGAAAGCAAGAGGTTGTTGCTCAATCAACCACAGAGGCTGAGTATATTGCTGCAGCAAAAACCGTAAATCATGCAGCATGGATTAACAAAATGCTAATTGATATGGGATGTTATTAGCTCAAGCCTTGTGTTATCCACTGTGATAACAATTTTGCTATTGCTATTGCTCATAATCCTGTCCAATATGGTCGTACTAAGCATATCAATGTCAAATTTCATGTGCTTAGGAATATGGTGCAGAGTATTGAAATTGAGATGGTTTACTGTGACAGAAATGAACATGTTGCTGATATATTTACCAAGGCTTTATCAAAGTTCAAGTTTGAAAAGTTCAAAACCAAGCTCGGAGCATCTAGTAAAAATTCAGGAGGAGTGTTGAAGACTTAAGTTTTAAATAGATACTTAGCAAAATGGAACTATATTTTGCTTTAGTTGGAGTAGGTGAAAATCATATCATTGTAATCTATCTTTTCTTGTAATATGATATGTACAAGATCTTTTGTGTAAGTTGTTCACCTACTATCAATGTACAAAATATATATGCAATAAAAGGAGAAGACCAAAGTGTGTATGGTCTTCATGTTCCCTCTTTATGTTTATTTTCTGGTTTTTCCTCTATTTTTGCTCTCTGCTTGATTTCACCTTCTGTTTCTTACTTCTAAACTCCAACACTCATCCTATTTTCTCTATTTCAAATATCAAAAATCATGTGACTAAAACTCTTACTCATACCAATTTCTTTGTGTGGAAAAAGCGTATGATTCCAGTGCTAAAAAGAAAAGATGTTTATGGTCATGTTGATGGCTCAAATTCATGTCTACCTCCTAATAGCCCTGATTTTGAGTATTGGTTGCAAGTGGATTATCAAGTGTTATCCTGGATTCAAGCCACAATCTCTAAAGAAGTTCTTGAATTTATCATTCAACCTGGTAAACAACTTACTACACGAATGGCATGGGAATCAATTCATCAAGTCTATCAAAGTCAACTTGATGCAACTGCACTTCAATTGACTAAAGAATATAGTGCAATTCAAAAGCAACCTAGACAAAGTGTTATGGAATACTTGCAGTATGTTAAAGGTAATAGAGATTCCAATCAGATCGCTAATTCTAGCAATAGAAATTGGGGCTAGATTACTACCTTAAATCTGTTGACTGTTATGTGTAATTACTTTCCTTCCTCGTAAATACAGCTGTATATAAATAGATAATGCTACTGCACTCTCAGTATTGAGAGAGTGAGTAAATTCCATAGAAGTGTTGTTAAACCTTTTTATGGTATAAGAGCACAGGAAATAATCTTCTACACATTCCCTTCTACTCTCAATGGCCTCCTTGACAAATTCTACTTCCCTTACTATTACTACCATTGCCCAAATCTCTGCCATGGTTAGTGAAAAACTGACTGCAAAGAACTACCTCTCATGGCAAGATCAGATCCTTCCACTGATTGAAGGAATTTCCATGGGGGATCACGTTCTCTTTGACTCAAAGGCCCCTAAAGCTACAAGGTTGTCCTCAGATGGCAAGGAAGAACAAAATCCTCTATTGGCAATTTGGTTGCAAGAAGATAAGCTAGTCAAGAGCTTGATCATTGCAACATTATCCCCTGCAGTTCGAAACTTTACGGTCGGACTCAAATCTGCTAGAGAAGTATGGAAGGCCTTGGAGGAGCGCTTTGCAAACTCCTCTAAAGCAAGGGCTCGAGATCTTTTACGACAACTACGAGAGGTCAAAAGAGATGAACATCCTACACTTGAGGCATATCTACAAGAGATAAATATGATTAGCAATGAGCTTGCTACCATTAAAGAGCCACTTGATGATGGTGAAAAAGTATACTGGTCTCTAAATGGTCTTGGTGATAAATATGATAGCTTTGTCACACCAATGCAGGTTCGATTTCCTCCTCCTTCATTTGAAGTTTACTAACTATTTGTCTAATTTTGAAAAGCACCATAAGAACTTGCTTTCAAGTGAGAAGCAAGTGTTTACTACACATAGCGAAAGAGGTCGATACAACAATCGTCCTCCTAGAGGCAGAGGTCAATCAAGAGGAAAAGGAGTCTCCTCATACAACAACAATTGAACCAGCAACAAGAACTCAAATGCTCAACAAGAAGGATCAGGCAAAACAAATTTGAATCAACGATCATCAATTATATGTCAGATCTGCAACAAGCCTGGACATAAAGCATTACGCTGCTATGAAAGATTTAATCATGCATATCAAGAGGAAGACATCCCAAAGGCAGTCGTTGCATTCTCAACAACAGATTCACAAGATCTAGATTGGGTTCCTGATACTAGAGCCATGTCTCATCGCACCAATGATCTAGGTAATCTTGTTAATGTTAAACCATATCGAGGAACTGATAAAATCATAGTTGGAGATGGTAAGAAACTCCAAATTACACATATTGGTGATGCATTTATTTCAACATCTTCAGGCACTTTATTTCTTAAACATGTTTTAGTTGTTCCTGATATTATATCAAATTTGTTCTCCATTAGTCAATTACTTAAGGATTCACCTTTTATAATTATTATATTCACACCTTCTGGTTTTGTTATTAACGACAAGAGGTCTTGGAAGACAATTGCAACTGATGTTAGAGACGGGGGTCTTCATTCATTTGGTCAAGACAAGGTTGCTTTTTTCTCTGTGAGACAAAGAAAGGCATCTCAAAGGATTTGGCATCATCGATTGGGTCATCCCCAGTCAAAAATTTTAAAATTCTTGAATAATAAAAATTTCATTTATGTTCAAGGTGTTATGGACAATTCCGTTTGTTCAAGTTGTCAAATGGGAAAGATTTGCAAATTACCTTTTCTTTCTAGTAATGAATGTAGTAGATTTCCTTTTCAAAAATTGCATTGTGATATTTGGGGACCAGCCCCTTGTGCATCTATTCAAGGTTTCAAATATTTTGTTACCTTTTTAGATGATTTCTCTAGATATGTTTGGACATTTCCCTTAAAGAATAAATCTGACTTCTTTCAATGTTTTAAGTCATTTAAGCAAATGATTGAAACTCAATTCGACAACAAGATTAGAATTTTTCAGAGTGATGGTGGCGAAGAGTACATCAAGAATGAATTCCTTGCACTTTTAGCTGATAATGGAATTATAAGACAAACTTCATGTCCTCATACAGCTGAGCAAAATGGCTCCGTAGAACGAAAACACCGCCATATCGTTGAATGGGCCTTGACACTCTTATTCCATAGTCATGCTCCTAAGAGGTTATGGTTAGAAGCAGTTAATATTGCTGTTTTTCTTACCAATAGAACTCCTACTCCAATACTGAATATGAGCTCACCTTTCAAAATTCTTTTTGGAAAGGATCCAAATTACTCTATGCTAAAGAGCTTTGGATGTCGCTGTTATCCATACTTAAGAGATTACAGGGAAAATAAATTTTCTCCTAAAACTCTTCCTTGCATTTTTATTGGTTATAGTCAACATTATAAAGGATATAGATGTCTACATCCCCCCACTCGAAAAATATATACATCTAGACATGTTATTTTTTATGAAAATAATTTTCCTTATGAATCTGATTCTTCCACTGTTGGTAGTACTTAGGGGGAGCTCAACGATTCTAGCCCATGGCTAAACCTCACCATGTATTCAAAAGATCAAAGCCCAGCAAAAATTATTTCAGAGTCTTCATCTACATCAAAGCCACAAGGAGATCTATCAGAATCTCTTGCTATTAATGCTGATATTCAAGAACCTGCTCTACAAACTCGTACAACACAATCTGCTTTACCACAAGAAGGAAACTTGCCACAATCTGAGCATCCTCACAATCAGGCTCAATCTTCTCATCCAGCAAGACATTTGCAATTGAACACACATCCAATGACTACACGTGGAAAACTCAAGGCAGGCCTCATACATTTCAACTCACAACAATTCTCCATTCATTGTGGGCCCAAGACACTCAAAACTGCCATGTCTCACCTAGGTTGGTACAATGCAATGAAAGAAGAGTTAATGGCACTATCTAAGAATCAGACATAGACTCTTGTTTCGCGCCACTCCTCTATGAATGTTATTGGCTCTAAATGGGTCTATAAAACCAAGTTAAAGGCAGATGGCAGCTTAGAAAGGTTGAAAGCTAGGCTTGTAGCTAAGGGATTCAACCAACAAGCCGGCATAGACTATGAAGAAACCTTCAGTCTAGTTATCAAGCCCCAAACAATTCGCATTGTGCTCACCATTGCACTTGCAAAAGGATGGACCATCAAGCAATTAGATGTCCAAAATGCCTTTTTACATGGCTACTTAAAGGAACTAGTCTACATCGAACAGCCACTTAGATTCAAGGATCCAACTCATCTAGATCATGTATGTCAACTCAACAGAGCACTTTATGGTCTTAAACAAGCTCCTAGAGCCTGGTTTGAACAATTCAGCCACTTCCTACTTCAACTTGGTTTTCTATGTAGTCATTGTGATTCATCTTTATTCATTCTTCATCATGCTCAAGGTACAATCTATCTTCTCCTATATGTTGATGCTATCATTCTCACTGGTAGCAGCTCTATTTTTCTTGATGCTTTTATCACAAAGTTAGGTACAGAATTTTCAATGAAGAATTTGGGAAATCTCTCATATTTTTTGGGAATTCAAGTCTTCACTACCCCTTATGGATTATCCGTATCCCAGAAGAAATATGCCCAGGAGCTCCTTGAACGTGCAGGAATGATTAATTGCAAAGCCATAGCAACACCAATGGTCGCTAAGTCCTTGGCACTTTCTCACACGAAGCCATTCTCCAATCCTTCACTCTTTCAAAGTTTGGTTGGAGCTTTACAGTATCTAACAATCACAAGGCCAAAACTTTCATATGCCATTAATACTGCATGCCAATCCATGCACTCTCCTACTGTTGGAAGCTTTCAGTTAGTCAAAAGAATATTGAGATATGTGAAGGGAACAATTGATTATGGCCTTCATTTGCTTAAAGACTCTAGTCTTGACTTATATGGCTACTCCGATGCCGATTGGGCAAGTTGCAGTATCACGCAACGTTCCATTACAGGTTCTGCAGTATTTCTTGGCTCTAACTTGGTATCATGGGGAGCAAAGAAACAAAACACAGTTGCCTGTTCGAGTGCTAAAGTTGAATATAGAGCACTTGCGTCCACCACAGCTGAACTTACATGGCTTGCTTTTCTATTGCGTGACCTTGGCATTTGTCTCTCTCAGCCTTCAATTCTATTTTGTGATAACATCAGTGCCTTATATATGTCATATAATCCAGTATTTCATGCTCGGACGAAACATATTGAGATTGATTATCACTTTGTCCGAGAAAAGGTCGCCTACGGCTCTCTTGTCACTAAATTTGTACGCTCCCAAAATCAACTGGCTGACATATTCACAAAACCTCTCAGTCGACATCAGTTTCAGTATCTACGAAACAAGTTGGGTGTTATTTCTATCTCACACCTCAACTTGAGGGGGAGTAATAGAGATTCCAATCAGATCCCTAATTCTAGCAATAGAAATTGGGGCTAGATTACTGCCTTAAATCTGTTGATGTTGACTGTTATGTGTAATTACTTTCCTTCCTTGTAAATACAGCTGTATATAAATAGATAATGCTACTGCACTCTCAGTATTGAGAGAGTGAGTAAATTTCATAGAAGTGTTGTTAAACCTTTTTAAAAGTACTATCTGATCGTTTGTTTGGAATTGGAAAACCAGTACTTGATAGGGGTTAGTTCTAAGAACAATTGCTGGCCTGGATTCTGCCTTCTCTTTGTCCAAACGGACAATCCCGCAATGTCAACCATTCGCTTCCTTTTTGAAACTTCAGTCCCTACTGTTGATTGAAGAGGCAAACAATCTTCAGGAATCTTCAACCAGTCCTTTGATGCAAGGTTCCTCCAGTGCTTCTCAACTGCTGCAAATCTCAAATTCTCCTTCAAATTCACAAGTGTTTTATGCTGGAAATCCAAACAGGGGTCGTGGTTTTGGTCGATCGAATAATCAAGGAGGTCGGTTTACCCGAGGTCGTGTTAACAGAGGAGGCGGCAGATCTCAGTGGAACAATTGGCCAAACTTCCATGGATATTTTGGTCCTGGCTTCGGTCGAGGTTCAGGCGGAGCATCGTCGTTTCCTAGTCCTGGGTTTTCTGGGCACTCTGCTTCTGGTGACAGGTTTCCTACTTATGGTTTTGATAAGGGATTTACCGGCAACAATTTTCCGACTCGGGCTCCTCACCAAAATCTTGATGGATCTCGAGCTTTACCTCCTTTGTTGCCCACGCCACAGTCCATTCCATGTTATGTCAATGGTGCAACCAATTGGGCCATCTAGCCCATGATTGTCCAATGTTGGTTACTCGACCAGCATCAGGCACTCCTTCCACGCCTCAATCTTTATTTGCTTCAACAGTTCCCGCTCTTATGGACCCAAATTGGTATTTTGATAGTGGTGCGCAAAAACATGCCACAAACAATTATGGTAACTTAATTCACTCCACACCCTCTTCTTCAAGTTGGTAATGGACAATTGTTACCTGTTACTTCGCGTGGTACTGCATTCCTTTCATCTTTTAATAATCAGTTTCGTCCCAATAATGTTTTAGTTGCTCCTGATCTTACTAAAAATCTTGTGTCAGTTTGTCAATTTAGTCATGACAATAATTGTAGTATTAAATTTGATTCTTCTGGTTTTTCTATTAAGAACAACATGACGAAAAACGTCATCTTTCATTGCAATAGTCCCAAAGGCTTATATTCATTCTCTAGTGGTTGTTGTCTTGTGTTCTAGCCGTCTATTTTGCTGTTCATTCTGCTGATGTTTGGCATTGTTGTCTTGGTCATCCGAGTTCCGCTTCTCTTCAACTTCTTGCTAGGCATGCTTTCCTTCCCACAATAATGTCCTTATCTTTTTCAATTAATTAGGACGTACTTATCCTACTTTTATCTTTTATCTTACTTTTTGTAAAATTAGAAATTATAAGTAATTATATTAAATATAATTATGTAAGTAAATCTATAAGGTAATCAAAATTAATTTTGATTTAATAATCAAACTCCTTATTTATCATTTTGTTCAAATCGGTTTTTCTTGCTATTCCTCTAAAATTTTATCGAACTTGAAAAAAGAAAAAGTTTTATCCAATCCTTTTAAATGAAATAAACACAAAAAAATAACATTCATTAGTCCCAATTTCAACTCCGACAAATTCAAAATCCTACGCATATACATAAATATAGAAGACTTCTAATTTTTTTTTTCTTAATAACAAAATATTTTATTTTATAAGTACAAGAGGTATTCAAACCCATTACAATTCTTAACTTACACTTCATTTTTGTATAACTCTTTAAAGCATTATTCTCCTCATTAAACATTTAAATCTCTCAGTAGTGATAATTTCAAATCATCTCCTTAAAGCATGGATAACGCTTGTGTCGGATTGAGTTTCCACATTTCCAAATCAAGTTTCGGATAACCTTTTAGCCTTTAGCCATGCAAACGATCCGAATTTAATAAGATCCATTACCTCCGTCTCCTTATTCACCTCTTTGCCAAAGAACATTTGGTTTCTCCAATTCCACAACGTCCATATCACATTTCTTAATTATTCCATATGGTAAACTAACTGTTATCAGTGGATCTCGATCTGTGAAATGATTGCGTTTTCCTTTTGTTTTGACCCTCAGCCAAGTCTTAGGTTTTTTCTAAGAAAATGTGCTGATTAAATATGTGATAAGGTACAAAAACCATGGCACTATTGTCATGTGTGGTGGGGATTTGGATTTTTCAAAGCATTAATTCATAATGCATGCAATAGTGCTTTCTTGCAACATGAAGATCGTCTATGGCAAAGGAAGAGTTAGCGAAAGGCTTTAGCACAATCAAGTGATCTTAATAACTAAAGAGAAAGTGTATTGGCGATTATGAACTGAATAAAATCAAATTTTGGTTTTGGTTACTTGATTTATATGTTATTTAGTGCTATGGATTTTTTCAAGGTCTTTTCATCATTATATTTGAAGTCTATGGCTAAGCAAGGAGACTATGTCCAAGCTAGGACCAGAAAGGATTTCTGGCTCTTAGTTTTTCTGTGCTTATGTTTTTTCAGGCTTTGTAGCATTTTCAAGCTAAGCATTATGACATGTAGGAAGGTCAATTTTGTATCTATATGGGTTAAGATTTCTTTTCATTATACAGCCTGCAAAATGTCTAAATGAGGTTGTGTGAGTAATGATGCATTTTATCTTAGTTATTAAATTAGAGTTATATAGCGTTACACATAGAGATTGAAATAGAGCCGTAGAGTGTGATATGTGATGTGTATTCTTATTATAGGAATTTCCTAATAATATGTTAAAGTCTTTTTGAATAAAATTTCTTATTTGTTAATAAAAAAATCAATATTTGCAATTCTATTATAAAACTAAATTTTTATTAAATTTTCTTTATCTACAAAAATTTATCTTTTAGATATTATTCTTAAAATATTTTTTCCTACTAAAATTGGTATAATCATTTTCTTGAAATTAAACTTGTGATAAGTATTGATTGGCAATTGATTAAACTTTAACCCAATATTTTTCTGTAATGAAATCTATGATCATAGATATATGTTGTTATCCTTTTCTATTTAAATAATTGGTGACCAAATTTTCTGTCATAAATACTTTAGTGCATTTGTGAAGGAAAGATCCATCATATATAGATGTATATTGTAATTACAAAAATATCCTTTTTAATTTAATATTGGTTTAAATAATTGGTGACCAAACATTTTGTCAAAAATTATTAATGGCATTAGTGACATTTTTTCCATCACCCATTTGTAGCCATTGTTACGAAAATTTCTATCATGCTTTTCATGATGAATAAAATTATTACAAATAATTTATTAATAATGTTGATTTTTTTGGTCATTGTAAAATTTGTTTTTGTGATGGGTACTAAATTTGTCATTAAAATCATTAGTGATAATGGTTTTATTAACAACTTAAATTTCATCATTAATTTTAATTTGTGACGAAAATTAAGGGTTTAATGACTATTAAATTAATCACCGAACGTGATCCTTTTTGTAGTGGACCCAAGAAACTCCAGTCAGATCTAATTTCGTCGCTCAATCACCTTACTTTGCCTCCATCTTATTTTCCAAGTAATCACCTCCCCCTACTATAGTCACCGTCCTGATTTCCCCATTTTATGTTTAGGAAATCCCAATTTATGTTACCGATCTTAATCATCAAGAACATAACCCAATAGCTTCCCTACACTACTAGAATGCATCAAATCACTGACAAAAAACTATCTAATTTAGTCATCTAAGGTTATGGTGTAATTTGATCAATTTAATATAAAATTTCATAATTTTTATATTTTAAAATTTTATTTTTTTATGTAAAATATGTATTATTGTTCTTAATATTTTTTAATGATTGACCATCATTAAAATTGATTTAGATAGTATAATTGAGATTAAGAAGAGATTTTATACAATAATTTTTAATAATATATACCTAAACTGAACAAAAATTAGAATTGGACCAACGTCATGACATTAATATTTTAAAAACTATAACCGATTGCTTATAGAAAAAACATTTTTGTGTGGACCCAGTGACCTTAACCACTTCTTGGCATGAGAGGAAACGAGAAATCTTGGAACCTTCATTATTTGACATCCAGATCTGATGCAGAACATATTTTGATGATTCCCCTATCTCGGTTCCTTGTAGCGCACACACAACTTTTGAACGGAAAGCAAAGATAGATCGATAATTCTACCGAGCAAAGGATAGTAAGCAAAGATCATTGATACAATATTAATAAAAATGATTATACAGAGCAACGGATAGTACCTTTGCTAACCTAAAAAGTGCTAGAAAAATTACTTATGGAAAACTTGCATGATGGTGAAAAACAAAACGATTGTGGCAAAAACTACAGAAACGATAGCTCATGGCTTAGTAAAATAGTTCTGGATCAAAGAAGCTTGCAATCTCGGCCATCTTCTCTCACAATATCTGTTGACATCTTCGCAAAGTGGTGCATAAAAGAAGTCATATATGAGATTGTTATCACGGACTCTGTTAAAGAAATTAGTCGTCTCCTCAGGGTTTAACCTGTTATTAAGAACTCCTGCTCTACTCATTAAATCCACATCATCTGAGGTGTTGACCAGGCAATCTAGGAGTATGGCGTACCATGTCACCCATGGGATGCAAAGAATGCTGCATTGCCCAAAGTTGATGAGGTTCCTGAAGATGGTTTCTGTCAATGGAGTAATCAGCAAAGGTGGAATTTCGAGGACACCCTTGTTAAATCTTACATCCAAGATGTGTCTTGACTCGGCTTTTTGAAATTTGACTCCCACCTCTTTAAGTCTGGTGGCAGATGGAATAAAGGTCCTGTAACCCCACTCCTTAAAGTCGACTAATTCCGTTTCTTGTGAGAGAACCCAGAAATGCCACACAAAATCGACCAGGTGTAAAATATTTGAGTCGTGCCTTGATTGAAGACTTCGCAGTTCTTGAGGTTCATAATGGGGAATAGCATGTCCAAAGAATTTAATGCCCAGCTCAACCAATGTAAAATTCGTGCGTTCGAGGTGTATTCGTTCAGCCCAAAGGAAAAAATCTTACTTTTTAGTTTACCCTTAAATTTTGACAAATGATCACTTCGGTCCTTTAATTTTTCTCAGTAAACTATATCATTGGTTCTATCAATTGCGATAATTTTGGTGGTCAAATGAATATTTATATCTAAATAATAAAATAATTAAAAATATAATAGAATAGTAGATAAATTCACGCCTTCAATTAATAATACTATGAAAGTCATAATTTTTTTAAACAAGTATAATTTAAGAGTAAATGATGAAAATTTATAATATGATAGAATTATAATTATAATTTTAATTATTCTCAAAATATTAAATATATCTACCAAATAGCTTATAATGCGTGGTGCCAATGAAAGTCATAATTCAATCAGTAGGACAACCAGATTTAACATTATTTGAATGATTTGAAAAGTTCGAGAATTTAATGTACAAAAATATTAAGCAGCTTAAAATTTTTGGAAGTTGAGGGACCAGGCAATTTCGTTTGGTAGGGGGAAAGCTCTAAAGGTTGAACCAGGTATACCCTTTCGGTCTTGACAATCATGCAGCAACTTTTCCACAAGCATTTTCTGAAATGCCAAGTGGGGGAAAACCATGCTCGTATCTTGTGTAAGTTGATCTTGACACATAAAGTATGCATTATTTTTGTATATAAAGGAAGAGAAGTTAATGCCTAATATGGTCATGGTGCGGATGGGTCAGTACCATTGCTCTCTTCTGCCATTTTCACATCTACTGTACTCTCACTCTTTGCTTCAACTGGCGAACCATCCATGCTCTGTTCTTTGCTCTTCCCCCACAAAACACGGTACAGACTTATAACCAACAATATGGAACCTATAATGCTGCATTAATCAAAACAAGCAGGTTAGAGTACGTATTTAATCGATGACAAATCGATGATAGAGTACCTATTTAATCGTTAAATCATTGCTAAAAGAAGATATGAATTTGGCTTCGTAAATATGACATTACTCAAATTAGCAATTAAAGCTCAAATAAATAGTTTTCTTTGGTTATCTTAAGTGGATTTCAAGAGAGAAGAGAAACAAAAAGAAATTTCTCAAATCTAATATCAATTTTTCATATTTATCTTTTGTGGTTCAACTAAGTACTCATCTGCTTCAGATTCAGTTGTTGAATCATTGGTTAACCTAAATGGAGCGAGATGAAGAGAGGGATTCAGATGAAGTTGCAGAAAATTTGTGTGACCCAAATCTTTAAGTGGTTTTTTGTGGAGTATGGTGTTTAGGAATTAAGGAGAGTTCGGGAGGATTGAAGAAATTCCAGATACGAGGAACGCCGTTGGGAGAGAAACAGAGCCCTGGGAATTGGAGGTGGGGCGCGGGGAGGGTTTCAGATGGGTCAAAAGTGAGTTTGGGATTCTTAATATTCTAACCAAAAAGGGAGCTCTTAGTGAAACATTTTGAAGTGCCTCATTTGAGTATCGGAAAAGCAAAAGAAGTATTCCTAATATTCTAACCAAAAAAATAAGTTTAGTACTAACAATTCCCAGGCCGAATCATTAACATCATCATTATTAAAATCAGGCCACGGATGAAATTAACATCAGCTGAAAGAAAAAAAAGGCACTCAATAAGCATCTAGATTAAAGAGGCTTGATGAATCTGATTAACTTGGAATCACCGAATCTGAGGATTTAGTCAGTAGAACACTACACTCGACATGAAATTCCTTTCTAGTTTGACATAAACGTAAAGAACCCTAGATCAACAGTTGATCAAACAGCCAAAAAGGAGAGAAGGACTTAGAAAACGAACCAACGCCAGCAATGAAGCTGCAAAGAAATTCTTGTGTGGGTCACCAAAATACCGGAGCTACTTTTGATAGTGATTTAGGTATGTATCAAAGTGGTGAGAGTATGCAGTTCTTACAAAGGTTCAGACAATCCTACTCGGTCGGCAATCTATAATCAGGTTAGCGTTTTCTTTAAATGCATGGCATGTATCAAAGTAGGATATGTTTGTTTTGCACTCTATGTATTTCAAGTGACGGGTTATGTTATCCGTCTTGACTGATGAACTAATCATTAATTTAACTTATCCTGAATTCCTTGAATGAAGCTGCCTAGTTATTTGTGTGCTAATTCTACGCTGAATCTGGTTAAAATTTTATGGTGCTTCACAGTGATTAATTTGTCCAGGAAATCTATCATATGGCCATTAGAGGGGATAAGTATTGTAGTAACTTATAACGATAAAAAGAAAAAGCTTTTATAAAAATGATCAAAATGAAAAGATTTTGAGGTTTTTTTTTTTTTTCAGGAAGTGAACAATCTGTTTCATGACCATCCATGGCAGAACCGGAAAGAACCTGGAGGAAGGCAGAATCAAGAGAACCAACTGCACCGGTTGTTGAGGAAGCTAAAACCTTGTTTATTTTGGAAAGCAATGAGGCCTATTGTTGTGTTAGCATTGTGTTTGATGTTCCATAATTCTGTTTCATATTGTCGTTACACAGCTACAAAAAGCAAAAAAATGAAATGCTTATTGCACTCCATTCCTTTAAATTTAATATCCTTCCATGTTATCAAATGAGGCTTTTACACGTACTCAATTATTAGTTGTTACTAGTTTACAGTTGTTATATATAATTTTATTTTTTAGTAAGATTTTATTGAGTGAGACATATTAATGAAT